TGGCTCCTAATCCAGTGCTCAACCCTCGTCTAGGAGGAGAAGGTGGGGGAGGGGGAGTGCCATGGACTCAGAGATGGGAGAGAGGGCTGGGTGAGGGCCTGAGGAGGGTGGGAGCACTGTTGGACCCCTCCAGCAGCCAGGTTCTCCCACAAATAATGGACCAGTTGACCTGAAGCACTCCTCATTTCCAGAGGGAGTCCAGGCAGGTGCCACCAAGGCATGTGTCTCAGCAGCCTCCCAGCTCTCACACCCCACCCCCCTGAAATGACCACACCATAAGGAGGAGCAGCGGGAGGGGAATGGCCACCTCCACCACCACCTCAGACTGGCCCTCAGCCGACCCCCAAACCCCCAAGGCCTCAACTCCATGAAGAAAGCGGGCTTTGCAGTCAACCACCCTGGGGTCAAAACTAAGTTCTAAAAGATGCAGTGAGAAACTCCAGAGGAGAAGGGGGCTTACGACCAGAATCGGGGCACAATCCATAAAAGACCCTGCGTTGGAGGCCCCGCGGAGGGCAGAGGGCAGAGGACTGGCCCAGGACTGGAAGGGTAGCCCCAGGGCCCACAGAGCCAGGAAAGGATGCCTGGGAGGGAACTGGAAAGTTAGCTGGACCTCAGCCAGGAGGTGGGGAAGGAGGCGGAAGGAGGCTTAGGAACCGGGAAAAAAAAGACACAAGTGTGCAACTTTGAAGGCCGGAGCCCTCAGGGTGCTTGTAGGGCTCTCAACTAGGATAGAGCCCCACCTCTGGGTGTCTTCTTAGCAGCAGCGCCCAGAACACAGCCTGCGTGGAACATGTGTCCAATCAACATTCAGCAAATGAATGAATAAAGAAGAGGGAGATTTTTCTATCAGCTTCTTAGTGTCTCTGCTTCCCTGCACCCTGCCCTCCTTACAGCCATCTCCAAAATGCCACCACAGTGGGCAGGCTCTGACCTGTCACGCCCACTCGGAACCGGCAGCCCCTACCCCTACACCGCAGACAGGCATTGTACCCCCGTGGCCCCTGAGCCAAATCAGGATCACAAACCTTTCCTGTTTTTGTTTTGTTATGTGTTAAATTTGAATTATGGCTAACATCTAAAAATAAAAGTGTCCACATAAAAATCTGGGTTTCTAGCTTCTCTGAAGACTTAGTTGGGTGGCATATCAGCTGGGTCTGCTGGCCCACCTGGGGGAGAAGTCCTGCCCTCCGCAGAATAACCTCTTGCCCCGGCGTCTTCACACCCTCCCCTCCCACCCTGGCCCTGCAGACGGCTGAGTGTGCGTGACCCCTGTCATAAGCTAAAATCCAAACTCCTCTGCCAGGCCCCCGAGAACTCGGTGATGTGACCCTTAAGATGAGCATCTCCATCTGTCTGTCCCCACTGTCTTTGTCCCCAACATCTGGCTGCATTATGCTACCTCTAGCCCTCTGGCAGCCCAGGCTTTTTCACACCCCTGGCACAAGTGGGACCTCAGGCCACGGTGCCTGTTCCCTGTCCCCACCGTGGGGACCGACCGCACTGATGCCCACCCGGTCTTCAGTGTAGGCCCAAGGCCACTTTGGCAGTAGCTCCTCCTGCTGCCCATCCCAGGCAGAGCAAGCAGCCCCCCTGTGCCACCATAGCCAGAGTACCCAAGCTATCCCAGCACGGGCCCCTGTTCTCTGCGTCGCACCACTGGCTGCGGGCTCAGGGGCCGTAGGAATCACATCTTATTCTCCCTTTATCTCTGGGCCCCACAGGGCCAGCCTCTGACCTAGAGTATGTCTCCAGGGCCCAGCTCGCTACACTCCTTGAGGAAATGAATTAAATAGAAGTCCTTGAGTTCAGAAGTGGCAGGGGCATAAAAAGATCCCACAGAAATTGGAAGGCCTTTGTCGTGGCCTTATCAAGAGCTGCATTTTATCACATCTACCCTAATGTACACACGCTGCCCTGGCAGTGCCGGAACAGACCCTGCCCCAATCAGGCCCGTTCTAGAAAAACAAGAAAATGGGACAAATGTAATTTTTAAAGACAGATACACACAAAACCACACACACACGTACACACGTGCACACACATCCCATGTCAACTACCCTCCGGCACCTCCTCTCTCACCGCCAGCTGAGGGCTCCATGTTCTAAGCCTTTCCTGACACCCCAAAGGACCCCCCTTTCTTCCCCCCAGAATGGCTGTGTCCTGAGTTTTCAGCCTAGGCCAACTCCTTGGACCCAGCCTGCTAAACTGATCATGGAGTTGGACAGCCCAGGCAGGGAGCGAGCGGCAGACACGAGTAGGAGGCTTGAGAACTGAAAGGAACTTCAAGACAAGCCCATGTTCTGGATGAGACCAGCCAACCTACGGTCGAACTCAGAGGGGCCTGGTGGGCAGGGCCTGGCTGAGAGAGAGCTCACCCCCCAGCCCTCCACTCAGCACTGCTCTCCGGGAGATGGAGCGGGGCATCCTGCCCGGCCCCACTGGCAGGTGTGAACCCAGCCCTGTGAGGTAGGCCTGGCTCCTCATCTGTCTGGTTCTGGCTCTGAAGCTGCCATCTTCACCACCATGTTCCCAGTGTCACTGGTACCTGAAAACTGGATTCGCCTCTTGGTAGGTGTCAAACCAAAAGACACAACCAAGCCAAAGATTGGGAGAAGGAAGGATTTATTACAACTTGCCGTAAGCAAGGAGAACACCAGGGGTCTGCCCCCAACGCAGCACTTCCCCAAGAGCAAAATCGGGGAAGTTTTAAGCTAATACTACATGCATATTCACAAAGGGGCCTCAGCACAGGAGAATTCAGCATAGCACTGGGGCAAAGGTCGACAGGGTCCACACCTGAGCTGATTGAAGTCAGGAGAGTCACCAATCATCCTTCCGTCTTCCACCTGTGCGAGGGCCTTAGTCCCTGCAGATCTCAAAGATTTGCATCAGGTTGTCATGTGTATCCTTGAGGAGGAACTGGGACTCTGTATTATTACTGAACTACTGTTTCTTGATGGCTTTTCCTTTGTTTGTGCTGTCCCTTAATTCCCTGAGGAGCATTCATTACTAAGACCTGTTCAAGGGCAAGGATTGCGGCCAAGCTTAGGTCACAAAATGGCTTAGGTCAAAAATGGCTTCCCTGTGTCAAGAAAGCCATGCCTGGTTCTTTTCCTCTGGGGACCCCTGTCTTGTCTGCTGACGTCATCCCTGGCTGTGACAGGCATGACAGAGAACCAGAAGCTCACACACCTACCGAGCTGTGCTGTGCACGGGAGCAGCATTCAAATTCGTCGTCATGGCAGTTTTGTGTATTTATTCAGTGAGATAATCTTCTGCAGATCAAAGTAAACTGTGTGGAAGAAGGGGCGGGGCTTTCCCACTGCCTCCTCAGAGACTCCATGGGGGCCCAGGCCTCATTGGCCAAGACAGCCCACGAGATAAGGAGGTTTAAGGAGAGTGGAGCCAGGCACTATCTGTAAGCCACCTCCTGGTCCTGTTTTCAAGAGGAAGCTGAGGCTCCAAGGGGTGAGTCACATGCCCCAGGCGCATTTCCAGGACAGAACTGGGGTAGGCCTGCCTCTGGCCCTGCCCCCTCCCAGTCCTGGGTCTGCTCGCCAGACAGACAGCAGGGCCAAGCCCTCATGCCCTGGCAGAGGCAGGGGAACTTCTCCACCTTGGCGCAGATCTCCGGGGCTGGGTGCTGGCTTCCTCAGAGCTGCCCGTCCCCCCAAGGCACTGGGAATCTGGGGCTTTGGGGTGTCAACTCCTTTCTTCTTGGCTTCCTCAGCCTCTGTCTCCTACCGCTCCCGCTACCATAGCCAACCCCGTTAATCACCTTCCCTTGCCAATCCCCCAGGAATGTGGCGGTCTCATTAAACTCAGCCCTGGGTTAAACAAACTAACCAACCTGGAGGCTTCTAAGTCAGCTGCAAGGCTCCACCAGGTCTCTCCTCCCCTGCTCTGCCTGCCGCCCCCTCCCCTCTCCCTGCATTCAGCTCCCACTGGGATCTCAGAGCCACCCTCCCACACACATCCCAGGACTAGGAGGGAACGGTGTCACCCAGTAAAACCACCTTGAGATTGGAGGGTGGGTGAAGCCTGAAAACCATGTCCCCCTGCCCAGAGCCTCCCCTCCCCACCCCAACCTGTGCCCCCGGCTCCTCCGCAGGGCACACGGGTCCATATGTGGTGTCTAGCACCCCACTCCCCAATCTTAGGCTGTGCAAACCACCTCTCATTCTGCCCAGGGCTCTACACCCACCCTCAAGGGAGCAGGACGTGGCTTTGGGGAGATTTCCTAAAGGAAGCAAAGAGGCCAGAGGGGGTGAGCCAGCTGGAAGCCTCTTCCTTCCCTCCTCCATCTCCTCCTCCAACCCCAGGACTCAGCAACAGTAAAGTTCCATTGGGTCTAGCCTGGGGGCAGGCTCAGTCCCACCTCAGGGACTTTCTGCTGAAGGGAAGAGGGACCCACACCCCTAAGTGCTGATAAACAAAGGGGAAAATATGCAAACACTCAGCCCACTCATCAGAACAGAAGAATCCACAGCTGGATCGAGGGAGGCGCACAGGTGCAGACCACACTGCTGCTAAGGGGGCTGCAGCTCCCACGCCAGGGTCCCAGATCCTAGGGTTCCTCAGGCCACTAAAATGTTTCAGGAAGCCAACCATTTAGCTGCAGTGAGGCTTCTGGGATTAACAAAAAGTCTAAGGCTTTGCTTTTGGCTGGAATTACATTAACTCAATGCAGACCCTGCTGATAAACATTCTGAGGGTCTGTGTACCAGAATTAGATTGAGAAAATGCAGAAAAAAATAATAACAAACACTCTTTAACACATTTTTTCCAAACATGGAGTTTATAGCAGAGGAGATAATAAAATGGATCTTAGATGCTTTTCCTTAATATACAAAGAGCTTCTAAAAATCAATGACAAAAAGATGAATAGCCCTCCCTCAAAATGGTCAAAGGCCAATAACATAGGATTCACAAAGAGAGAAGAAAGAAATTCAAATAGCCAACAAATATAGTAAAATATGCTCAACTTCACTCTTAAAGACATTTCAAAATTTTTAATGAGATATCATTTTCACCTATCAAATCAGCAGAGATTTAAAGGTTTGATAATACCTGTGTTGGTGCTGATGCAAGAAAATGGGCATTCTCGTACACTGTTGGTGGAACCGTAAATTGTTACAGTGGTTTTTAGAAGGCAATTTGGGAACGTATATTCAAATTTTAATCAGCTGACAATTAATCTTCAAATACAGTTGTTCATCTCAGCGCTGTTCGTAATAGTAAAAACTGAAAGCAGCTTAAATGTCCAAAAAAGGAACTGGTTACTGAAGTCTTTACAAAGGACTTTGCAGTCATTGCAAAGAATGGGTAGGTCTATGGATGTCGACATGAAAAAGATGCCCGAGATATGATATTAAGTGGGGGGAAAAAAGTAAGCTGAAAAACAATATGGCTATGATATGATTCATTTGTATTTTTTAAAAAACCATATATAGTTATGTGTAGCTATATATGCTTGTCTATAAGGAACATATCTTAGGGATAAATAAGAAATTAAGAGTGGTTCCCTTGGGAATAGGAGGGGGCAAGGAGGAAGGGTGAATAGAATGCTGTTAATTTTTATATGCCTTCCTCTGATCTGATTTATCATAAATTTTATAATTTTACAAAGTATATATTTTATGAAGTATAATTGACATATAACAAATTAGTTTCAGGTATGCAACATAATGATTCCATATACATATATAAATTGATTTTTTCAAGGGGCCTCTGGCAAGGAAAAGACGAGAGAGACCCCAGTTTAGAAGCCCTGGGGGATTACAAAGGAGGGGTCATGGGAGGATGTGAGGGCAGCTGTCCTGAGGCCCAGAGTGGAGCCCTGTAGGAGCAGGCCTCTCTTTCATCTGGCAGAGGAGGGAGGGCTGTGGACAGAAGTCTGCCCTCTGAGCACCTCCATGCCACTTAGGCAGGGGAGACAGAGGCAGCCTGGGGAGAGAAGCCAGCCCTCAGGCAGCAGTATGAACCTCGTGGGGGCAGGCTGACTTGCCCTGGGGTCTGGTCCAGCCCCTGCTCCTATCCCTCCACCCCAGGGCTCCTCCTTTATTTTCTATCTGACCAAGGCCTGGACAAAATCTCTGACCCACCAGAACAGAATTTGCACAAGAACTTTTCTGAAAGAGAAAGTGGAAAGGCCAACAAATTGTTGGTTGTTTGAGAACAGATCTCTGCCCAGAAGATCTCACAGCCTGGCCAGAGATGCTGGGGCAAGGGTGGGGTCCTCTGGGGGAGGAGGACTTTCCTGGTCTTTGTGGGATTCCTCTGACCCACCCACCCCCAACTCCAGTCCTGTGGGGGCAGGGTGGGTCACGTGGTCCTTGACTGGGATGTCACCTTGCTTCCTTGACCCTCAGTCTCTTCATCTGTGAAGTGGGGATCATGGCACCTTGAGGATTGATGTGAGAATTAGAAACATAATATAAATAAATATTAAATATTATAACACAATGATTTCCATACAAGAAACACACAGTTAACTAACCTTATTGTGGTAATCATTTTTCGATATATACATATACCCATTCATTATGTCATACATCTTAAATTTACATAGTGTTAAGTGTCAATTATATCTCAGTAAGGCTGGGGAGGTGGGGAGCATATGTAACCATATCTGTTCATCAGTATTCTCTAAACACAGCCTTACCTCTTGTGCCTTTGCTGATTCCCCCATCCCAGATGTCCCCCCACCTTTTCTCCATCTGGCAAAATCTTGCTCGTGTTTCAAGGCTTAGCTCCAGTATCACCTCCCTCATCAAAACTTCTGCAGTCCTTGCTGAGCAGAAGCACCCTCTCCTCCTCAGGGCTTCTGGGCACTTTGTTCATAGCCCCTCAGCCTTCACGCACTAAGTCATGGGAGCCTTTGGCCCCATGCCCTGGGGGCTCTGGGCTGCGATGCTACCTTGCCTTTGTGTCCCTGTCTTTGACACGAGGCCACTGGATAAATCTTTGTCAAATGCCCATGCGAATGACTTCTGCTAATCCTGACCACCTTCTCTGGTCCTTTTTAGGGAAGGGAGTGAGCAGAGGAATGGGACTTCTTTCTTCCTCATTGCTTCTCTGGATTTGTTTGATTCCAAAGGAGCTGGGCTGCCCTGAAGAGCTCAATGCAGAGACCTCATGATGCTGGGACGCCCTCACTGGGAGGGAAGGGCCAGGGAAACCAAGGGGCACAGCCGGGAGCTGGACTGGGCTGGGACATATGCCCAGGAAATGTGGGTGCCTAATCCAGGGCTGTCCCGTCAGGTCACCAGACCTAGCAGTTTCAGTGGCCACACACTGGCCTTTTGAGGAAAGGGGCCCGCCTCCCTCTGTCACCCCCACCACGCACACGCACACGCACACACACAGAGCTGTGCACAGCTGGCCTGTTCCTTCTGGGCCTGCTGCTCCTCCCTACTCCCAGGAGGGCCAGACCTGTGCTTAAGAAAAGTTGTGGGTTTGTCCTGCCCCCTGCTGGCCTTAGAGGGAATGGCTCCTCAACTGACAACCAGGAGGAAGTGCCCAGGGCTGCACAGCCACCCCACGTGATATTGTTCCGGAAAACAAAGACCACCCCAGCCCCAGGTCCTTCCCATTGTCCTGTGGGTCTCACCATACGTCCCTACTGTTCAACTCCAAACCCCCTAGGCCCGGCAAGTTCCTTCAGGACCCTTCCAAAGGTCCTGATGTCCCTTTCCAAACTGATTTCCCACCAGACCCTCCCAAAACCCTGGCCCCAGGTAAAGCATCTATTCTTTGTCCCTAGAACACACTTGCCAGTGTGTCCTGATCCCCAGCCTTGACACAGGCTATCCCCTTCTCCATCAAAGCTCTTACCTTTTCTCTCTGCTTCAAGATCAAGTTCAAGTCTGCTGACTGCCTCAGCTCCAGGCACCCTCACTCTGCCGAATTTGTCCTCTAGTGCTCAGCTGGAGCTCATTCCTGTCCCCTGCGGCTTGTGCCTGCCTTAGTCTCATCTGCAACTAGACCAAAGCATGGTCACATTGGAACGTGCACAAGCTCAGGCGTTCAGCAAAGGGCCTTGCACACAGTTAGCGCATAATCAGTGCTGGGTGGGGAAGGTGATCAATCCAGCACCTCATGCTTCCTCCTACCAGCCCCAAGGGCTTTGGGGAGGCTGGCAGGGTCCCTTGGGAAGGAGAAGGTTGGTCTCAGTTTAATGTGTAGGTCCCTGATCATTTTCCAAGCCCGTTGCCCTCACAGAACTAGTATCCCGGCGACACCAGCTGTCGGGAAGATAGGAAAGAGGGGGAGGCCCCTTGATACGCAGCTGAATGTGGGAGAAATTTGTGTCCAAGGGGCGCCTTTATTCATTCACTCATTCATTCATTCACTCATTCATTCACTCAGTGATCCTCTATTAGATGTGTTGTGGGTATTACACAGAAAAGACACAAAATCCTGTCCTCAAGCATTTCATCATCTAGTGGGAGGGAAAATTAAGATGTTCACCAATACCTTGCATTAAGGTTTCTGACAGAGATATAAGAAATGGCATGTCTTCTCTGATCACAAACCCTGAACCAGCTGAGAGGCAAGGAGAATCCAGAGAGCCTTCCAGGAGGAGGGTATGTTGAAGGTGAGACAGGGAGGAGGAGTAGGTGTTAGGTAAGAAAGGTGGGGAGGCAGAAGGTACAGCAATGTCTGGAGCTCAGGGTACTTCTTTGCAGATGGGTTTGGGGTGGGAAGAGTATGAACTGGAGAGAAAGCAAATCTCAAAGCTAAGGAGTTTGATCTTTTTCCTTAAAGCAATGGGAGTAACCGATAGATTTATAGGCAGGGAAGTGAGGTGTATAGATCTGAATTTTAGAAAGATCTGTTGGGCAAAGGTGGGGAAGCATCAGAATCCCTGAAGAGGAGACATCGTGTGAGAAGTGGGGGAGGCTGTGGTGGAATAAGGGGTGGAGGGGGAGGATATCTGAATTAAGGCAGTAACAGCAGGATTGGAAGACCATGAGCAGATTCTGGAGATTTAAAGAAACCACAGGACTCAGTGCTCGGATGTGGGGAGTGTATGGTGGGAGCACAGACGGAGATGCGGACACAGCGGGAGGAGCAGGTGGGGGCTGTGGAGAGAGCAGGCTCAGTTTGGAGCATGGTGAACTCAAAATGTTTGGGGACATTGGCCAAAGCTGACCAAGAGATGGGCATCTAGCTGGGGCAAAGGTGCAGAGAGACCAGAGTCTGAGCCATCGATGGAGGTATCTCCCAGACTGGGAGTGGCTGCACTCGCCCAGGGACAGTGGGTTAAGGGAGAAGAGGTGGAGATGGGAGGTCCCGCTCATTTTAGAGGTTCTTTAGATAATCACTGAGGGACAGGGACAAGAACAAACTAGAGGCAGTGTGGTTAGTGGAAAGGCATTCACATCAGAGGACATGGATTCATATTCCAGCTCTTCCAGTTACGTGACCATTCCCTTATGTCTCCAAGCCTCTGTTTCCCCTATCGTGAAATAGTCTTAATTATACTTGCTTTGTAGGATTATTGAAGGAACAAAATAATAATACCCATAAAGCACATCACACAGCTCTTGGCACTAACAGAAAGCTAAATGTTCTGCTTTGAATGGGACATGTTTGTTTTCGTCAATAGGAATGGCAGAGGATGAATGAAGGAATCCCTTTTTTTTAACTGTGTTCCTATAAGTGAGATGTCTGCCTTCTGGATGAAGGCACGCGATTGGTCATTTACCATAGTGTCCTTTGAAAAGATGTGTTCAATAAATGGAAGCCACTATCATGAAAGGCAAACACAGAGAAGTTGCAAAGCTTCCAGAATCTTCCAAGTCGGCTAGTCCTCCTGACCGGAAGCCCCTTTGGACCTCTACCTGCCAATTTTGTTACTAGGTGGATAAGCAAATCCAGGCAGGACATCTGTGTCTCTGAAGCTCCCACTTGTGTCCCCGAGGGGACGAGCTGGGACAACCAGCCCTGTGGGGCCTCTGTCCTCCCCTGGGGGTGGGGGGTGGGTTCTGGATGAACACCACAGCCCACCACTCGTGACCCTTGCCTTGCCCTTCAGTATCTTCCCTGGAACTGCAGCTTGCTGGTGGAAGGGCACAGCGGGGGCCTCAGTCTTTGCCCTGGGTCTGATTCCAAGTCCTCACCTTTCCTGTCTGCAATTCACCTTCTGGCCAGCAGAGGGAGCCCTACCTCTTCCCAGCCAGCCTGGAGCCAGGGCCCTGGAGGAGGCTAAGAGTCAGAAGACACTAAATCACCGCTGTGCAGGGCATGTGACATTTTAGTGTAGTGCCTGGCCAGGGAAAGCATTAGATAAGAAGTAGCCATGGTTGTCTCCATTTTGCAGATGAGGAAACTGAGGTTCCAAGAGTTAAACTTGAATCCAGGTGTTCAGGTGTTGATAACTATCTAGACAGCTCCAGGAGGGAACGATTCTGGCTCTTAATCTGCCACAAGCTTGCCTTAAAAGAGGGGGCACACTGGGTGGATGTTCCAGAAATGCAGGCCTGACGCTGGCCTGGGGAAGAATGTTGTAACCGTCCGGGCTGGCTGGAGCAGGGACTGCCTTGACTGTCTGAGGGAGTGTTTCAGGGAGTCAGGAATTAAGGGTGGTGGGTCTTTCTAAGGCCTCCTCCAGCCCAGGGGACCACATTCTGAGAGGACTGAAGGGCCACACACAGTGGGTGCCTGCCCAGAATCACAGAGGCCACTGTCGTCCTGGGGGCTCAGCTCCCCCGGGACCTTGCCGCTGTCCACACTGTCCCTGGGACGTGGTCAGCCTCAGGGCAGGAGAGGCCCCGTATCTTCTCTGCAGGCCTCTGGATCCCAATCACAGGCCAAAGGGCAGCCCCCCACTGCCTGTTCCACAGCTGGCCCCTCCCTCGGGCTCATTCTGGAATCCAGGGCAGGCCTCTCAGGGCAGGGTCTTTGGTGACCTGAGTTTTGCGCTCTGTTCACAGGGCTACAACCCCGCCTGCTGGGGAGGGCAGCGGAGCCACAGATCATGCCCATCAGGCTCATTCTGGGAGCCCTGCGGGGCTGTCTGCTCAGGCCTCTCTGTGGGCAAATATTCTGGGTTAGAGTTGGGGAGGCAGGGGCTCCTGGCTCCAGAGTAGAGCACAGCAGGACACTCCTCTGGAAGGACATGCCTGCCTGGGCACAAGCACACCAGCTGACTGAGTGGGGAGGGCGGGAGGCAGCCTGAGGGACAGCCTCTCAGGTCCAAGCCTCTCAGGGCGGCAGCCTAGCACTGGTCTCTTCTGGGTGACACGCTGAAGGCAGGACGTTGCCAGCTGGAGGGCGGTGGAGCACTGGCTCCCATCAGAACCCCTGGGGAGACTGTAAAAATTTGGATTCTGGGACTCATTCCTGGACTCTCCATGGATGGATCTAGGGCTTTGCATGTTCAACCAGGCTTCCCAGGGATCCCTTTGGATCGGGCATTTGAGACACAGCTCTGGAGAGACCAAGATGGCAGCCTGCCTGGCACCGCGCTATCCTGGGATGGCTGAGGGAGCTGGAGAAGGCCCGCCGGGGGAGAGATGCCGTGGAGCTCTCAGGTCTACTTTGAGTGGCTCCGCAGGGAGAGCTGGGAGCACAGGAAGGACTTACAGGGAGCTGATGATGGGGAACACACTGACGGAGCCCTCCCCTGCTCCAGACGCGTGACCTGTGTTGTCCTGAGTAACCCTTATGGTCATTGTCAGCGCTTTTGACATGCAATGAACGAGAACTCAGGTTCCAAGGCCACACAGCTGAGAGCCAGAGCTAGGGCTCAAACTGAGTGTTTCGACTCTGAGGCCCTTGCTATGTCCTGTGTAGGGTCCCACATGGCTGCATTACTGGGGAGGTAACGACGGCCTGGTCACTGAGGGTCCCAGTAGTGTCCGGGTGCTAGAGAAAGGAACCTTGCTTCGCGTGGAGGAACAACGTGGGGTGGGCATATGTGACGGGCTTTGAGGGTCAAGAAACCGAGAGGCCTCCAGACTCCTGGGCTGGCTCTGTGTTCCCCCCCACCCCCTCACACCCCTTCCCAAGGCTCAGGAAGGACTGCACAGCGTGTCCCGCACCTCTCAGAGCCAACCAGGGTGTGCCTTGGCCCCAGCACAAATGCTGGGTGGCCTCTTGGGGAGGCCCGAGATTCCTCAGCGGCACAGCCCAAGGCCTCTGGACCCTCCGCGGCCACGTGGCACAGAGGGCAGGCTGAGCCCTCCCGCTGGCCTTCCCAGTGAGGGGGGCGAGGGGGCCAGGCCACCGACCTCACCCTCCAGCAACCACCCCTGAGCAGGACTGAGTCCCAGGGCTGCAGGAGGCATACTTTCCTGGGACGTTTTGATCTTGTTTTGTTACTTTAAAAGTTGCCATTTATTTTGCATGGGGTGGAGAGGGAATGGAGAGGCACTGATTACAAAAATAACATGATCTGTGGGGAAAAGTTGGAAAACAGAGAAAAGCACAAAGAAGAAACCACACAGAACCCTCCCCCGCAAGAGCCCTAGAGATAACGGGCATCACTTCTTTTCATTTCTTTTCTTCAAAACAAGATGCTAGGTTCAAAAGGCACTCCTGCCGCTTACTGGCCGTGTGACCTAGGATAAATTACCTCTCACGTCGTTGTGCCTCAGTTTCTTCATATGTAACTTGGAGATGGAAATAACAGGACCTACTTTAAAGGGTTGTTGCGAACGTTCGACAGGTGTCTGTCACAGAACACATCCTGAGCAAATGTTTAGATTCACATGGTGACTTTTTTTCTATGTTTAGATTTTCATGATGACAATTTTATTCTATTTTTTTTTTTACAAAATTGAGTATTACCATTTGTAACAAGCCTTTTCCACCTAACACCACATCATGACCATTTTCTAGGTTTATAAAGAGTTACATGATTGCAATGTTTTCTGTTTCGATTCATGTGATCACAAGGTTTGTTTAGATTTTTTTTCTATTTTCACTTACATGATTTCAATTTATGTATTTATTTGTTTGTTTATTTTACAGA